TCTGTCTCTCTCTCTCTGTCTCTCTGTCTCTCTCTCTCTGTCTCTCTCTCTGTCTCTCTCTCTCTGTCTCTCTGTCTCTCTTTCTGTCTCTCTCTGTCTCTCTCTCTCTCTCTCTCTCAGATACAAACACACACATATTCACACAAATTAATATATACATGCACACAAACGCTGACACAGACACGCATACCCACCCACCACACACACACACACAGACCCACACACAGACCCCCACACACCTTGTTTGGACATGCCCTCAGCCAGACACCTCTGGTAGCGACAACAGCCACACAGATTCCTCCGGTCTCCCCGGATGTCACAACGACGGTTCCGCGGACACACAAAGGGCGTGGTCCTCTTGAGGGCGCGCCGGAAGAAGCCCTGACGTCACATAGATAGAGAGAAAAGGGGAAAAAAGGTATATCAATCAACCAGTCAATCAATCAATTAGTCAAAGAATTCATCAATTAATCAGCAGTCAAGCAGTCAATTAGTCAAAGAATTCATCAATTAATCAGCAGTCAAGCAGTCAATTAATTCATCAATTAATCAGCAGTCAATCAATCATTAAGTCATTAAATTCATCAATTAATCAGCAGTCTTTCATTCAAATAATCAGTCAAAGAATAGATCCATATTAATTAGTATATCAATCCATTAATCATTTCATTAATCAATCAATATATCGATATATATTGTAATTACCGTGATGGATCAATATACTCACTGACATAATATACAGCGGCACAGTGAGGAAATACAACCCTAATAATAATGATAATAATAATAACAATAATAATACAGCACTTGCAACACAACAAGGTCATATAAGTGCTGAAGATTAGAGGTGTTACAAGAGAGTAACAAACATGAAAAAGAAGGAGGAGAGATCAGGACGATAGATGTTTGATAGGAAAGAAGGAGCAGACCACACCAGAGCACCCGCCAACCACCCACGAAATGACAGACTTGGGGCACAATTGACAGGCGGAACATACTAGAGACACCTTCCAACCGCTCAACTGTTAGACAGGACGTGTGGGACATACTTGGGACACCTTCCAACCGCCCAACTAGACCAGTAGACAAGTGTGAGACATTCTAGGGACACCTCCCAACTCGTGTTTTTACCCTACTGGTCGGCTGGGTTCTACGTGTGTGTTGACCTGTGTAAGTAGTGACTGTGCACTAGTGTGCACGCGTGACTGTATGTTCGTTTTAACGTCTAACACACACGTACACACACTTATACACACACACACATACACACACACACACATACACTCGTACACACACACATACACA